CAGATAATACAAAGGGAATTAATAATCAAACTATTTGATAAATAGACTATAAAAAATGGAATTACAAGTACCTACATCCTGGAGATTTATTGGCATGTTATAGCACACTTGATATCGAAAAATCTGCTTTGATTTTATCTGCTTTATTTCCTGAACACTATAAAAATTATGTTTTTTCTATACAGAAGACATTCCTTTAGATATGCCCTGTGTATAGAAAACGTATTCATTTTTCAATTCCTTGTGCTAGATACAATTATTATTGCAAACTACAAAGTCAGCCCAACAGATCAACCGATTTTAAGCCGTGTACTTTAACATGCTAAATTGTCGGTTCCCTTTGTCATAATGAATCAAATAAATTGTTGTTTGTTATACTTATCAACCAGCTATTAGGTACACAAAAGATCCTGACAGGAAATACATCAATTGGACAATTGGCTAAGTAATTATTTTTAGAAGGTTCTATTTAATTCTTAAACATTTTTTTTTAACCGATAACATATCGTATAGAATAAAATTATTTTACTTTTTTAGCTATCGTAAAGCGGGGTGACTTTGGTACCATTTTTAGGTGTTTTCGCTGATATAATCTTTTTGTTATATGAAATATTTAAACCTAAGCAGTGTCATTTACCCTCTTTATTATAACATAAAATTTAGCCAAAATATGAAATCAAAATTCTAAGCAGTACTTTTTAGTTATTGCACTTTAAAGTTGTCCTAAAGTAACCCCTTGTCGGGGTAACTTTTGGACAGATAAATTCTACACTTAAATAGCCGTAAAGAATCATTTTGTTCCCAAGAAGGACACAAGCAGCTATATTCAGGGTCAGTCTTAAATAAATGCAAATATTTTAAGGGGTAGTATATTTCGACCCCAGAAACACGATTATAAGGGTCTTTTGGCGAAAAAAAATTGAAAGATCGGAATTTAAAAAAAAACTAGCTTTTTCCCGCGACTACGTTCGCGTTACACCTCGAATCGTTCATGCATTGATTTAAATGATTGTTTACTTCTTTATAGATAGAGCTAGTGAGCCTTAGAAATGCAATATAATATTTAAACTATGTTTTTAAGAGTTTTAGAGCTACTCGTATTGATGTATTGATGTATCGATTTATCGATTTATCGATTTATCGATTTACTGATTTATTGATTTGTTGATTTGTTGATTTGTTGATTTGTTGATTTGTTGATTTATTAATTTGTTGATTTGTTGATTTGTTGATTTATTAATTTGTTGATTTGTTGATTTGTTGATTTATTAATTTGTTGATTTATTGATTTATTGATTTATTGATTTATTGATTTATTGATTTATTGATTTATTGATTTATTGATTTATTGATTTATTGATTTATTGATTTATTGATTTATTGATTTATTGATTTATTGATTTATTGATTTATTGATTTATTGATTTATTGATTTATTGATTTGTTGATTTATTGATTTATTGATTTATTGATTTATTGATTTATTGATTTATTGATTTATTGATTTATTGATTTATTGATTTTATTGATTTATTGATTTATTGATTTATTGATTTATTGATTTATTGATTTATTGATTTATTGATTTATTGATTTATTGATTTATTGATTTATTGATTTATTGATTTATTGATTTATTGATTTATTGATTTATTGATTTGTTTATTGATTTATTGATTTATTGATTTATTGATTTATTGATTTATTGATTTATTGATTTATTGATTTATTGATTTAAACTGATTTATTGATTTATTGATTTATTGATTTATTGATTTATTGATTTATTGATTTATTGATTTATTGATTTATTGATTTATTGATTTATTGATTTATTGATTTATTGATTTATTGATTTATTGATTTATTGATTTATTGATTTATTGATTTATTGATTTATTGATTTATTGATTTATCGATTTATCGATTTATTTCTTTATCAATTTATCTATTTATCGATTTATCGATTTATCCGATTTATCAGGATTTATAAATTTATCGATTTATCGATTTATCGATTTATTGATTTATCGATTTATCGATTTATCGATTTATCGATTTATCGATTTATCGATTTATCCGATTTATCAGGATTTATCGATTTATCGATTTATCGATTTATCGATTTATCGATTTATCTATTGATTTATCGATTTATCGATTTATCGATTTATCGATTTATCGATTTATCGATTTATCGATTTATCGATTTATCGATTTATCGATTTATCGATTTATCGATTTATCGATTTATCGATTTATCGATTTATCGATTTATCGATTTATCGATTTATCGATTTATCGATTTATCGATTTATCGATTTATCGATTTATCGATTTATCGATTTATCGATTTATCGATTTATCGATTTATCGATTTATCGATTTATTGATTTATTGATTTATTGATTTATTGATTTATTGATTTATTGATTTATTGATTTATTGATGCTGCAATGATTTATTGATGCTGCATTGATTTATTGATGCTGCAAAAAAATGCATCTGTAGATGTTAGTAATGTATGGCAATCGCTTCTTTGATTTTAAAGAACATAACATAAATAAACATAACATACGTAAAATTTAAAACTGATCATACAGAAAGTTTGGGCTTTTTGGTTTTACCTGAGGGCCTGAGGGCCGCGGTTCGGATTCCGCGTAGAGAAAGTAGGCCCTGTCCAGATTAGTCTTAGCAGCAAAAAGCAGACGTTAACTTAAAATACTTTATTTTGAATTTGCGATATTGTGTAGGTTATCACTGTAGTAGCGTAAATCTGTCTAAGTAATTTCTAAAGAAAAACTGCACAATAGCAACAAACTTTATAGTAAATAATTACCTCCAATCTCGCGAAGTGACAATGGGGTAAGAGTTTAATAACTTGATGGTTTCCAAATAATATACTAACTACAGGTATCATGTTTGTTTTTATATTTTATTTAAATTCAAAAATACAAATTTGTAAATAAAAATAAAATTTATTGGAAGTAATTACCTAACCTACCTCTCCAAACACACTGCATTAACATTAACCGAAATATATTTTGTAAACTACCTGGTATAAACAGGGTGGTCCGAACTGTATTCCGGAAATTTCGGCAGCATATTCTGCAGATAAAAATAAATAAAAAAGTTCGTATAAATGTATGTCCTAAAATGGTTAGTTTTGGAGATACAGGGTGTAGAAGTTTCATTTTTATTTCGATTTTTTCTAAATAATTTCTGAAGTAAAGTCAATATTTGGATGAAAATTGGTGTCTGGGAGTTGACATGAGAAATTTGATTTTGATGTTAATATGACTCCTACTAGTAGAGGGCGCCACCTATATGTGTTTTAACTGTTTTGAAGCGTAATAACTTTTTGTCCGTACCTGAATAAAACTACCGAGCGAAAAAATATACATTTCCAACACTTTTTACGTAAAAAATATCTCTTTGTAAAAATCACTACGAGCAACCGTTCTTAAGATATTTAGAATGGAAATAGTCAATACATGTCATTATTGACGAAAAATAAACACACGTTGAGTAGATAGTTATTTCGCTGAAATAATAAATTTGGGAAATTTTTATTTTTTTAAATTGATCATAACTTTTTCTGCAAAAAATGATTATAAAACAGTTTCTGTTGAACTTTTGATACAAAAACATTTCAAATTTATGATTTCAATCTAATAACTATTTAGTTAACATGTTTAATTTATGTCAATGATGACAAATTGTTGATAAGTTCGATCCCCAATATCTCGAAAACCATTACTGTAGCGATTTTTTACCAAGAGATCTTTTCATGTAAAAAAATGTCGTAAATGTATATTTATTTACTCAGTAGTTTTATACAGGTACGGACAACAAGTTATTACTCTTTAAACTAGTTAAAAAATATGTAGGTGGCGCCCTCTACTAGTAGGAGTCATATTGACATCAAAATCAAATTTCTCATGTCAAAAAACTCCCCGACAGCAATTCTCATCCAAATTTTGACGTTACTTCAGAAATTATTTAGAAGAAATCGAAATAAAAATGAAACTTCTACTCCCTGTATCTCTTAAAGTAAGCATTTTAGGACATACATTTATACGAACTTTTTTACTTATTTTTATCTGCAGAATATGCTGCCAAAGTTTCCGGAATACAATTCGGACCACCCTGTATATTTATAAGTATGTAACTAAGCAGCAGTTTTAGTAGTATGTAACTAAGCAGCAGTTTTAGTAAACTGCTGTTTGTGCTTTCAAATTTAAAAGGTATAGTGGTATCTATAGTTTAGTATAATAGAAAAATTATGAGATATGAAAGTAGTTTCCAAAAATGTAATAATATACTGGGTGATCCATGTATAATAACAAAGATGCTACCACCTTCCTGATATTTTTTTAGATATATGGAGCAGGTTAGGTTTGGTTCCGATTCCCCATAAACGTTTGAATCAAGCCGCGAATCACCCCTATGCAGGGCGTCCCAGAAATAAGTGCAAGTATTTTAGGGGTAACTAGATCTGGTCAAAGAAACATTTTTCTCTTTACCCTTTTTCAAATAAGTCCAAAATAACCGAGTTATTCTACTTTGAAAATTTCCAAAAAAAAATATTTTTTGCTAAAATTTTGAGAACCACTGGATCTTTTCTGGATTTTCTTTCATGTACATTTAAGCTACTACCTATGTTGCCATATTATCAAGAAATTATGTTTTTTAACCTAAAACTAAAAAAATTTCCATCATAGGCGTGTTTCTGAGGCCGAAATATACTACCAGTTAAAATACTTGCACTTATTTCTGGGACACCCCGTATATTCCACTTGTAGATTTTTCTGTTTGCTCGGTAATTACTTTTTAGCACGCACTCAAAATAATAGTTCTTTTTGGTCATACAGTATATTTGGCCAAGCAAGCCGCTGTTTATTATGTTGTTACACAATATTTTTGTAGCATAAATTATCATTAGAACGTTCAAAATCATCTCTATTTAAAATAATATAGGAAATAACATAAAAACTTACTGACGCTAACATAGGCTATATATTACTCACAATCCTCTTGGGCTCTTGTTAATAAAGAAACTATTTTCAGTGAACGAGACACAAATTTGATAACCCAGATAAACAATCATATCTTAGGTATTTGACATTATTGTCGTTGAAGCCCCTTTTTCATTATTCTGTGATTACTAGGAGATTAGGAGAAGAACCAACAGTGGTGTTGAGTGAAATCCTATTATAGTTAAATAAGCATTGTAAAAATATCCAATTTTTAATACTCGGTTAACAATTTCTAATTAATTTTTATTGAACTATAATAAAGTTGAACACTGTTGATTTATTGAACGAAAATTTGATTTCGTTCAATAATGATTTTGACTGGGTTTTCCTTAAATAACTTTTATAAAAATTTAAAATATCTTGTTAAATATTGGTTTTGTACTTGTTATCTTTTATCTTCAACAAAACAAGTTATTTTCCAAACAAATGTTATTTGTAAAACAGAGTAAAATGTATTTTGAATGTGATAAAAACTTTGATAACTTAGATGGAAATGGTGTGTATTCATTGTTGCATTAGATAATTTGCTTAAAGCAATAACTACCCATTAGTACATTATGTTAGAATTAGTGGGAATATTGTAAATCTGAATTAATTATTGAACTATACCTATGTACCTAAAAATAATATGATAAAAGTGTTATGACCAAATACTTTATATTAAATAACAAAAATAACAAATACTTTATATTAAATAACAAATTAGTGATATATATTCACATCAATTATCATACATTCAATTCTGCATAAAATAAACTATCTGTGAGCATATTTTAGTTGCGATCTGAGAGATTTCGGTTTTTGACAAAATCGACAGATGGGCGCCGCGGAATTTTTTCGAAAAATTTTGGAAAATCGATTTTGCTTATTTGGTAATATGTTGTAGCGTTGAATGAGATTCACACCTTTTGTTCCAGAGATATTTGGTGTTAAATGTTTCGAAAAACAGAAAAAAATATTTCTTTTGTAGATTTTCTCAAATAACTCGAAATCTGTTAGAGATATCGGAAAACGGTTTTCAGCATTCAATTCTACATAAAATGAACTATCAGTGGGTATATTTTAGTTGCGATCTAAAAGATTTCGGTTTTTGACAAAATCGACAAGGGGGTACGGAGGAATGTTTTCGAAAAATGTTGGAAAATCGATTTTGCTTATTTCGTAATATGTTGCAGCGCTGAATGCGCACTTTACAAAAACGGTATCGTTTTTGAGATTCACACCTTTGGTTCCAGAGATATTTGGTGTTAAATGTTTCGAAAAACAGAAAAAAATATTTCTTTTGTAGATTTTCTCAAATAACTCGAAATCTGTTAGAGATATCGGAAAACGGTTTTCAGCACTCATTTCTACATAAAATGAACTATCAGTGGGTATATTTTAGTTGCGATCTAAAAGATTTCGGTTTTTGACAAAATCGACAAGGGGGTACGGAGGAATGTTTTCGAAAAATGTTGGAAAATCGATTTTGCTTATTTCGTAATATGTTGTAGCGCTGAATGCGCACTTTACAAAAACGGTATCGTTTTTGAGATTCACACCTTTTGTTCCAGAGAGGGTTTGGTGTTAAATGTTTTGGAAAACAGAAAAAATATTTCTTTTGTAGATTTTTTCTCAAATAACTCGAAATCTGTTAGAGATATCGGAAAACGGTTTTCGCTTAGCATTCATTTCTCATAAAATGAACTATCAGTGGGTATATTTTTAGTTGCGATCTAAAAAGATTTCGGGTTTTGACAAAATCGACAAAGGGGGGGTACGGAGGAATGTTTTCGAAAAAAATGTTGTTGGAAAAATCGATTTTGCTTATTTCGTAATATGTTGTAGCGCTGAATGCGCACTTTACAAAAAACGGTATCGTTTTTGAGATTCACACCTTTTTGTTCCAGAGATATTTGGTGTTAAATGTTTCGAAAAAACCAGAAAAAATATTTCTTTTTTGTAGATTTTCTCAAATAACTCGGAAATCTGTTAGAGATATCGGAAAACGGTTTTCAGCACTCATTTCTAAGCGATAAAATGAAATATCAGTGGGTATATTTTTAGTTGCGATCTAAAAGATTTCGGTTTTGACAAAATCGACAAGGGGGTACGAGGAATGTTTTCGAAAAATGTTGGAAAATCGATTTTTGCTTATTTCGTAATATGTTGTAGCGCTGAATGCGCACTTTACAAAAAACGGTATCGTTTTGAGATTCACACCTTTGTTCCAGAGATATTTGGTGTTAAATGTTTCGAAAAAACAGAAAAATATTTCTTTTGTAGATTTTCTCAACAACTCGAAATCTGTTAGAGATATCGGAAAACGGTTTTCAGCAGTCATTTCTACATAAATGGAACTATCAGTGGGTATATTTTAGTTGCGATCTAAGATTTCGGTTTTGACAAATCGACAAGGGGTTCGGAGGAATGTTTCGAAAAATTTTGGAAAATTAATTTTGCTTATTTCGTAATATGTTGTAGCGCTGAATGCGTACTTTACAAAACCGTATCGTTTTTGAGATTCACACCTTTGTTCCAGGGATATTTGGTGTCAAACGTTTTGGAAAACAGAAAAAAATATTTCTTTTGTAGATTTTCTCCAACTAACTCGAAATCTGTTAGAGATATCGGAAAAACGGTTTTCAGCACTCATTTCTTACATAAATGAACTATCAGTGGGTATATTTTCTTAGTTGTGATCTAAAAGATTTCGGTTTTTGACAAAATCGACAAGGGGGTACGGAGGAATGTTTTCGAAAATGTTGGAAAATCGATTTTGTTTATTTCGTAATATGTTGTAGCGCTGAATGCGCACTTTACAAAAACGGTATCGTTTTTGAGATTCACACCTTTTGTTCCAGAGATATTTGGTGTTAAATGTTTCGAAAAACAGAAAAAAATATTTCTTTTGTAGATTTTCTCAAATAACTCGAAATCTGTTAGAGATATCGGAAAACGGTTTTCAGCAGTCATTTCTACATAAAATGAACTATCAGTGGGTATATTTTAGTTGCGATCTAAGAGATTTCGGTTTTTGACAAAATCGACAAGGGGGTTCGGAGGAATGTTTTCGAAAAATTTTGGAAAATCGATTTTGCTTATTTCGTAATATGTTGTAGCGCTGAATGCGTACTTTACAAAACGGTATCGTTTTTGAGATTCACACCTTTTGTTCCAGAGATATTTGGTGTTAAATGTTTCGAAAAACAGAAAAAAATATTTCTTTTGTAGATTTTCTCAAATAACTCGAAGGAAATTGTTAGAGATATCGAAAAACGGTTTTCAGCAGTCATTTCTACATAAAAATGAACTATCAGTGGGTATATTTTAGTTGCGATCTAAGAGATTTCGGTTTTTGACAAAATCGACAAGGGGGTTCGGAGGAATGTTTTCGAAAAATTTTGGAAAATTGATTTTGCTTATTTCGTAATATGTTGTAGCGCTGAATGTGTACTTTACAAAAAACGGTATCGTTTTTTGAGATTCACACCTTTGTTCCAGATATATTTGGTGTTAAAATGTTTCGAAAAACAGAAAAACTATTTCTTTTGTAGATTTTCTCAAATAACTCGAAATCTGCTAGAGATATCGGAAAACGGGTTTCAGCATTCATTTCTACATAAAATGAACTATCAGTGGGTATATTTTAGTTGCGATCTGAGAGATTTCGGTTTTTGACAAAATCGACAGAGGGGTACCGAGGAATGTTTTCGAAAAATTTTGGAAAATCGATTTTGCTTATTTCGTAGAAATCAATTTTTCGAGATCAATTTTAAATCTCAGTTTGTGTAATGTAAATTGTAAAAGAACCGTTTAATAATATATTCTCTCTTTTTATAAGTTATAAATCACAAAAAATAAGAATACCATACCAACTAAATGAAATTAGTTAAGAAAGATAAGTAATTGCCTATACCTAAGTAATTTTTCGAAAAAACATATTATAGCTTATATCGCTGAAAAGCTTAAAAATTGCGCTTTAAGAAGTCATGGCCAACTATGGCTTCCATTTAAAAAAACATGTATTTGTCCTATATAAAAAATGACGGACTTTAGAAAATGTTCAAAATATCCGCAAATTAAGTTTTGGAGTACATAAAACGGTACCTTTTAAAACTGAATTACAGAAACGACCGGTCGACCTAATTAAACTTCTCCCTGTACCGACCCCCTTCGAGGCCTCTTTGTATTGAAAACCATTGCCTCCATGTATTAGAAAACTCTTCTTAAAACGCAAGTAACGATTTCACACCGGTCAACGTATCCTCGAAAATGTATGGCCAAGAAAAGTTGAACCAATAATCCTCCTCGCTTTTCTTTCATTTGAAAAATTCACATATTTACAATTTTTGTTTATTTTATGGGACTACTGTTTGGAATTGACAGTTACACATTTCACGGCTAGATTGATCATATGTTTCCATGGGTTACTAAGTCAAATTGTTTAAAAATGATAAGAATTGGCTATAACTAAAAAAACACACTGAAAACCTTAAAAATGGCATCTTTTTATGAAGTCATGGCCAGTATGGTTTCCATTTAAAAAAGCATGTTATGTTTTGTGTCATATGTCAAATATGACAGGTTTAGTAGTGTAAATCATCGGAGAACACAAACTCATTAGGGATGTGATAATTTACAACTTTTATCTGAAAACTTTTTTGTCTAAATGGAATTAGAGACAAATTTTAAAATAGCCAAAATTTGCTTTTTTTCGAAATATCTAATAAGTCATGAACTTTTTCAAAAATCTGAAAGGCGCATATTTATGATCACACAAAACTGCAATTCTTTCCCATTTAACCGACTCTCTATCTCCAGCAGTTTCCTGAGATGCCCATAGAGAACATCGTAGGAATCTCACCCTGTATTATCTATATTTATCTCGAGATTTATCTATATATTCTTTATACATCTATATTATGCCACAAATTATAATTAGTAGTGTGAGTATGTTAGATTATAGGAAAACAAACTTTCTGTATTTTTTACAGAGTTTAAAGGGTATAAAGATATAATAAAAATATAGTTACAGTTAGTAAGTTACCTTTGGTGACACAGCACTGGTTTT